CGCCGTGGAAGGGAGTGGGGTCTGCAGGGGTATGTTTCGCCGACCCTCCGGCGACGATGAACAAAGGGGCCGGAGCAGGTAGAACGCTGCGGCCACGGCGCAGTGGGAAGGCGCCCATTTAAAGCTGTGTTCTGCTAGCGGTGGTGCGTACCCCCTCCCCCGCTTCACGTAGCGAGAGTCCGGCGACGCTTGCCGCAGCAGCGCCCGCCCGCTGCACGTGGGAAGGCCTCCATTCAAACCAACGATCTGCTATGTGCCGCGTTGCTCGGAAGCGCACCGCCGTCGCGACGTGGGAATGGGCTCCAAAGGCTGGGGAAGGGCGTGAGAAGGCTTGCTGCTCCGCTGAAGCCGTTGGTCAGAAAGGTCTCTCTCATTAGTGCCAGTTTCAGACTCAGGCTATTGTGGTCACTTACAAGGGAAGTCCGGTAAGGGAGGATGGAAAGGACATTGTTTCGCGGCAGGGTGGCATGTACGTAGCGGTTGGTGTAGGAGGGTTTGTGAAAGACAAAATGACAGAGTGTACCATCAGAACCTCCAGGAAAGGGAGTTTGTGCGGGTGGATGTTGTTGAGGTACGGGAGGAAGGTTTCAAGGCTATCGGTGCCATGGTGCAGATAACGAATGCCATCGACGTAGCGCAGCCATAGGGTAGCGAAGGTTTGCGGCGCGTTTTCAAATACCTGCTCTTCAAAAGCTACCATGAACAAATTCACGGAAACGGGATAGCGGTGAACCCATAGCTGTACCTTCTGTCCGTGCACAATAATTTTGCATCTATTGAAAAAAGGTGGTCGCAGATAAGGCAGATATCAGTGGGTTTTGCCCACTCCGTCGGAAACTACCGTCGGAAACTCCGTCGGTAGCAGGACCACGTCTTCCACGATCTTGATGACGTCACTGACAGGAACAATGTTGAAGAAAGAAATAACGAAGCAGCAAACCAGGATATCATCAGGAGTTATTCTAATGGAGCGGATGCGTTCGATGAACCAAATTTTTATGCCAGAACTACTCTCATATTTTCATAATTTTTACATCATAAATGTTTGTATATTTCTAACAATTTTAGGTAATAAACATCCACACGAAAAATCATAACCTACTCATCCATCAACCATATTGGTTGAATATTATTAGGACTAATAATATCAGAGAACCTATGACAATTTTACTTCTTTATTTATACTATTTTATCAGCAAGAATTTTAATGATTTTTCATAATATATCATCTCAACATCACAATCAAATCCCCTTCACATGAAATTCATCAATAATCACATTTTTTACATCAATCAATTTAATATCATTAGGAGGTCTACCCCCATTCTTGGGATTTCTACCCAAATGAATAATTATTCAAAACTCATGTTATAATGAAGTAATATTCGCAATGTTAATTATAATTCTATGTTCATTTATCACTTTATTCTATTATTTACGACTAGTAATATCTTCCTTCTTAATTAACGTAAATCAATTAAAGTGAAATCAACAACCAAACCAAAAATTTCATATTATTAAATTAATTTCCTTAATAACAAGAATTTCACTATTTAGATTACCTTTATATCCTATAATATTTTTCAGAATGTAAGGTCTTAAGTTATTTAAACTATTAGCCTTCAAAGCTGAAAATGAAATTCCTATTTTAGGCCTTAGTAAATATTACACCTTTAGAATTGCAGTCTAAAATCCTCATTGAATATAAGAAAAATGATAAAGGAAATTTTATTCATAAAAAGATTTACAATCTATCGCCTGATATTCAGCCACTTTATCGCAAAGATGATTATTTTTACTAATCATAAAGACATTGGAACTCTATATTTTATCTTTGGAGCATGAGCTGGAATAGTAGGCACATCATTAATAACGATGAATTGGATAACGCCCTATTAATAACGATGTATTGGATGTTACTAGTACACCAGCAATGAGAGTTATGAACGAACCAGCACACGAAGGAAAAGAGTATGACAAAGAGTTTGTAGTAATTGTATATTCGTCAACTGGCGTAGAATGATAGCTATTATTTACGAGTTCATGTTTACGACACGAGCCTGTTCGTCGCTCGTCGCCCGGAATTTCTACGAGTGAATAATAGCCCGACCATTCTAAAGCGAGCAGAAAACTATACTTTCTCGACCACTTTCATATTGGTGTTTTAAAAATACTAAACGGGTGCCTTAACCATACAGAACGGCTATGGAACACTCAATGCTTTCTGACGATAACAAACACCAACTCGCAATCTGTTTCGTGGTTCGTCTGTCTTACTAGGGTTGCGATTATCACGGCAGAGCGCGCAGGGCTGTTGTCCTCTGTAGGCGACAGCGAGAACCCTCGCTGTCGATAACAAACTAAGACGAATTAGACTGGTCGACAGCCGTGCGAGAGTGATATTCTCGCACGTCGTGTGGAATCGTCATTTTTGTATCCGATAACGTGCAGAAATGCATACTTTCTGTAGTAGTTGCAGAGAAATTATATTACTCAAGTAATTATTAATGAATGCTGATAATTTCTTGTTTTTCCTTTTTTCTTGTAGGAAATTGACTGTTTTTCAAGGTTGTAGGTGTTTTAAATATAAATATTTTATAAAAAAACTCATGTTTTTCTAAGAGAGGGTCTCAGTAACAGGTCTACTGTTATTAATCAACAAGACTATTTATTCCGAAAATTCATATGAATATTGTAGCCTTCTGTTAATGAATATTTTATTTAATTCCTTTAAATTTGAATTTCGGATAATTTCATAATCTTATTTTGTACACTTAATCTCAATACAAGTTTTGTGATCCTAAATAAAAATTAAGAAGTTGAAGGAATTATATTATTATTTAACAAATTTATTTATGCTATTATTTACAAATAGCTCACAGCTAATTAATTTACCAATGCCATGTTTTGTTTCACAGGAGCTTCGCTATATAATTTAAAATTTCATCCACTTAAACAAAACAATACATACATTCTGTAACAATAAGTCAAATACTAATTTACACTAATAATTGTTAAATTGTTCTATTAATATACAATAACGTGACCTTACCGTGAAGATCATTCGGCATAATGATGATCTTAGGATGGTGAAACATGAAGTGCTTGCTGCATTAAAATTTGCTGATTCGTCTGGTCCTAAGAGAAAAACCTAAAACAGAACCTATATATTAACACGATATGAAACTGCATTAAAATGCAATTCACGTCTAGTTGATACGTTTAATGAGAATTAGAAACACTTACTCAAGATAATACAAACAAAAAATCCCAAATTTACCTTTTGTCACAGACGTACCTGAGCAGGTCTTGTAACTTTAAATTCAATTCCTGATGGTCCAGTATGTTTGTTAACTACCATAATTGGAGGTTTAGATTGCGAGACACTGCAAATTATTGTAATGTTTATGACTACAATGTAATATCTTAATGATGAGAACCAGAGGCTCGTATACTGTGATTACTGAATTTTTACCATGACAAGAGACAAAGTTTATTTTCGACATCAAATATTTTCTTACAACTTAAACCCAAATCAGTACATCTATAAACCAATAGACTGGTGTAAAGCACGACCACGTGCAATAGCGAGCTCGCCCACCTTCGGCACCTAGCGTTTGATCCCTTGCGTAATCTGAACGTTACACCGTCACAGATCCAAAGGTGCACAGATAATTGTGCAAGACCGCAAATCTTTCAGCAGTGCAATTAATAGGTGCTCATGAACCACTTGGCACATGCGGATGTTCAGTGACTGTGATTTTGAAGTAGTCCAATAGAACAATGCAATTTGTTGAAGGTCTATTAGTATCCCATTACCAAGGCTAAGGTGGAAAGCGTCCTTAGCCATCCTAAGTATCAACGCTAGCGGTGAGATCCAAGTGCAGTGTTTGTCTGCTCTAACCCAATTCTCTAACAAAAACCAGAATTCTTACATTGGTGTACTTCCTTCCATAATGACATGGATGGATGAACTGAATGATTTCTCCAACTGTCCACGTCAGAAAACACTTCAGAAAATATTGATCTTCAACAAATGTTTGTCTGTACCCTTGGCTAATAATCGTCAATTGCATTAATCATTTCAGAAACGTTTCAGACAACATAAAATTATTCATTTTAATTTGATTCTTTTGAATCCAAAGGGTGATGATTTCTACTTTGTAAAATAAGTTTTTTTGAATGTTGAAAACAACTTAAAGACAACATATTCTCTTCACTGCAAATGTTAAAAGACACTTATTTCGAAGAAATGTTCTCTTAACTTAATTACAAGGACCCTACTCTCAGTCATCGAGTTAACGTCACCAACTTCTTTGTGTGTGTGTTTTTTTTTCATTGGCTTCCCACTTTTACATAAATATGGGTACGAACATTTAAACAACATTTAGAAATTCATCGGATCGTCAACTTCCTATTATAAAGTGATGATGACATATTTCTATAGATCATTCGAATCAAAATTAGCAAAAAATGGTAGTGTTTTCCTTCAGAAATAACAAATTCACGTTTGGTAGGTATACAATACTTCATTCATTATCCTAAACAAGTTACTTTTTTTCACCACACGCACATCACATTCAGTGACATTTATTAAAAACAAAATGTTGTGTGAAAGAGAACGTTTCCTACGTTTACATTGAGAAATAGTTTAATTTAAAAATAAATCTCTTTGTATTCAAAACTAAATAATTTTGGCCCAGAAGGAATTATTGCTCAGTGTTGTTCATTTATTTGAAATGACAACAGAATATTAATTAATAACAATATTTTTAGAAAGAGTAACTTCTATTCAACACATTCTCTCATGACTTAGTAATGAGCCTCCAGTTAATAAAATTAAAGTAATTGAATTATCCTGCATTTACCATATCTGTACATCTTACCTCGGGTTTGCTGAAAAGCAAAATCCTAGTTCAGTGTCAACAGTTTCAAATTTGGAGCAGCAGTCAAAAGGTTCCCCATTCCAAACGCAATCCTTCATCAGTTTCTTACATGGCCATTTCAACTGTTTTGAAGAGAATGAAAATTATATTGAAAGAATAAATTCACAATAATTACTTTTCTTTTCATTAAAATTTATAAGGATATTTTAAGAGGAAACACATATTACTTTAACACCCATTCATAGAAACGGTTTGCATATGTTTCACATGAGTATTTTCTCATAGATTTGAAATGATCTAAAAGAGTTCTACCTTATCGGCAACTATATCAAACGTTAAAATCACATTACAAACAAAACCTTTTAAAATTAGTTTTGATATGTTTCAATGTTCATTTAGTTTGAAGATCTCTTTTCTCTGCAATATTCCTACTGAATATAATTGAATTGATGCCTTATTTTACGTGGCGAGACTCGGGCCATCAGGCCCGCTCTTCCGTCTGACCACGCAAATTTCGCTAAGCTCCTTTCACCTACTAGCGGAAAAAGGAGGTATTTCTTGTGCGAGAAACAGGCGATTTCAATTTAGCTCAGAGGCGTCAATTAGGCTTGAGGATCTTTTACGTGCAAGAAAATCTACTTACATGGGACAACCGGCTTAACTTTCCCTCCAAAGGAAGGCGTACGAAGGAGTTTTTCGCCCTTAAAAATCCAAGACTTCGTTCGGGTTTGAAACCGCCAACTTGGGTATAACAGTCCGATACGCTAACCGTTACACCATCGCTGCGCGCGCGATACAATATAACTCATTTCTCCAAATTTTGCATAAAATACAGCGCAAATTCGGGAAAATACGCTATTATATTTTCTCATATTATATACAACATTTACTGCATATATGAACCTACAAAAGTATTTTCCTCCAGCTCTTTTTTTCGAACCGAGACTCGAACTCAGGGCCATCGAATTAACTGACCGTGCGCCTTCTACATCAAGCCAGATACTGTGGCGTACCCACTCGGGTTGAAGCTTAAAAATCTAAATGTCTCATCCCAATATTTCCAAAAAGCAATTTTCGAAAAGATGAAATGAGACAGTTTAAGCATTCCTTTTTTATCCTTGGGCAAAAATTTATAGAAAAAATTGAATTGTTTTTTGAAAAAACCTTCTTTTTAATAATTCACATTAATTTCAACCAGAAATTACGTGAAAATTACTCATTTTTTAAAAATGTACTTGGCTTTTTTTAAAGAGCTGGATTTAGAACAGATTTTGTATAAAACGAAAACCTCTAATCTCAATTTTGTAGTTTTGAAATATTACGTTTTTGCATTTTTCGAAAATACAGAGAGATAGCCAAAATTTAAACTAGCACCATATTTTTTATCGTCCCGTTCACATTTGAGAAGAAAATTTAAATAAAAAATTTGCAGTAGTTAATATTTTTTTTAGAAATTGCATAAATTTCAAGCACAAATTACGCAAAAACTACTAGTTTTTCAAACAAATTGTACAGTGCCTTTTTAAATAGCTTATTTTACAGAACAGATTTTGTTTGGAGAGAGGTCTGTTAAACAAAAATGTCTCAGTAGAAGTGGTAGTCCTGGTATGAATGATAGTGATAGGAGGAGGATAAGCAATTTTTACTTTCCCGACTTTGCGTGCGTGAGGAGAGGAATCATTATAACCCAGCGCCAGAAGACGGCGACTCTTTGACACAAAACACTCTATTGCCTCCCTAAATAAATGTCTTTATTGGAGGCGACGCTCAGGCCATATACTCTGTTCTTCCGCTTGATCACTTTCAAAAAATGTTTAATACAATAGTTAATGAAAAGAAGATCATACAAAGAGAAGTGCATAAGCAATTTGGATGATGGGGTCTCTCACATTAAAGACAGGAATGGGAGCGAGAGAGGAAGGAGTAGATAGGAAAGAAACACTCTCACAGCATTTGTGAGATTAAATTTATTGATTTCAAGTTAAGTAAGTATTAAAATTAATCATAAATATATTACATTGAATCCTACTGAAAATTTACTAAAATGAAGAGAAATTGTTGAAATGAAGAAAAATATTTTGTGACTGAGCAAGTTAGGTACAGTAGAGGATTGGATGGAGCTTGTTCTAGTCAGTGAAATGTTAATAAGTACTACTAAATAATTCACACAGAGGTTTTGAAGGAGCTAAGGTTGCGCACGTATTTTTGAAATACCCCTAAAAAAGGCTAGATAAGGAGAGAATATCGTCAGAATACGAACGAAAACTACATTGAGTCAAGAGCTCAACCCTTGAGAGAAATGGAAAACATTGGAAGATAATTTATTTCGTAATGATAATACTTGTATTTCATAATAATAACAATTATTTTGAAAATATTAATAATCTGAGAAAGTATTATAAAACGATTCGGTTATTAAATTAAGTAAAAAAGGAATTAAAAACGTAAATACGATCAATACATTTTAGGAAAGGTTTTCAATTTAAACCCCGTACTATAAAAGTAGTAATTATGAAAATTCAGGAAACGTTCACCTATTTGAATATTCTCAAGACTTGAAAAGCCGACCCAACATCTAACATTCGTAAGCCCAATTTAAATTTACTCCTTTGACCACATTATTCATTTGATACTTTTTTCTATTGCAAGAGTGGGTGCATTACACCCTGTCATAGTGTCTACTGAATATTGGAAGTTTCGTCAAAAAATAGCAAAATAATCAAAACTTACTTTGCGACTAAGTTCCTTGAAATTAAAATTAATATCACAGATCGGATTGTTATTGTCGTCACAGTTGAAAGAGCATTTATTGCAGACGGGTTCAAACACGAAGCTGTGAACTAGAAGTGCAAATTCCATGTCATCTTTGTAGTATTCGGGATAATGTCTGCAACAATATTAAATTAACAAAAAAATAACGTATTATTTATAACGCAATCACGTAAAAGTAAAAGTCGATTATGTTACTTACTTCTCGACAAATTCTAAGGATGTAGGAACACGTGAACTTTCAGTCTCACAAACAACTATTTGTGGGAAAGATGTATTCCAGTGAAGATAATCAGTATCTGTTACAAAATTCACAGGATGATTCTGATATGCATAATAAGACGATTTTGTCAGTCGATAGTTAGCGAAAAAACAACCAGCCAACACTACAAGCCAAAATAACCTGAAAATTCGACAGAAAAGCAGGTTTGATTAGATGTTTTCTGAATTTTCCGTACATGAAAAGAATTTAAACTCTGAGCTATGGGAAGGGAAACCCTAACAGAAAACCAAGGTAGAAAGGACTGTAAGGCACAATGTAGCCAACCTTTCTAGGGTGTAAACCCCATCCAAATCCCTGTCCTTCAGGAAAAAAGGAAACGAAGTCTTAATTGAAGAAAGCCGGATGGACCCCTACATACCGACCTTTAGCAACGTCCCCGGAAAATGAGAACGGCTTTAAGAATGGCTACCTGGAATATACAAACAATGTCTCCGGCGAGAAAATAAGAGGAAATAGCTAATGAACTAATGCAAAGTGATTTGCAAACCACAGTCCTACAGGAAATACGATGGCTAGATAGCGGATACATAAAAAAAGACTACATTCATGTGTAGTGGACAGAGAGACTTGAAAGGACATAGAATCTCTATTTCTGGTAAGAGGTGAAGCAAGAAAATGTAAAATGGGATTTGAGCCAATTAACGAACGGATGTGTAAACTGCATATAAAGAGAATGTTCTGCCCCAATAAAAGACAAGGAACTGGAAGAAACAGAGAAATTCTATACGATGTATGATGTAATGATATAATAGTTTGTAACGTTGACATTGTTGGTAATGAACTGATGTAAACATAATGAGGTGGCACATAACCAGAGCTGTTATAAAGTGACCATAAATAAATAAAATGATTATAAGAGATTTGTATGCGAAAATCGGGAAAGAAATTGAAAATAGAAAAATAGCAGGCATACACACATTACATGACACAATGAGTAAGCATGGAAGAATCATGATACATCTGGCCCAACTACAAGAGCTTACAATAAACAGTACAAAATTCGCACATAAAAGCATCCTAAAGGCACATGGAAATCACGGAATGAACAGTTAGTGAACCAAAAGTATTAGTTAACAGAAGAAGAGGCAGATGTGTTATAGATATCAACACAATAAAGAAATAGAACTCAGGATAAAAAAGTTTAATTCAAAAAATGAGAGTACAATGTGGAAGAACAATTAAAGGGAATCGAAAAAAATCTTTGTACTACGACTTATTATTATTAACTCACAAAAGAGACGGCAAAGAAATGCGGAAAAAGAGAAACCCCATCCCAGAATTAATAATATACACTTCATCGAAAAATGGTAAATTTAGTTCCAATACACAAGAAATAGTTTATATCTTGACTAAAACATTCGCTGCAAGTTCAAGCTCCTTAAATTATTTGTAACCACCCCGCCTACATGGTGGTTACAAATAATAAATTCCATGTAGTCTAAAATCAATTCCTCCGAACCATTATGAACGCTCCATGGCAAAAATCCAATGCACACCTTCGCAAAGAATTAGAGTTGGAATCGATAACAAACAACATTTTTATCTACGTACTTCTTTCAAAACTCCCCAAATAAATTCAATCTAACCAAGGGCTACCATAATCCAATACACGAATCCCGCATGAAGAAGAAACACCTGTTCCAGTTTCCTAAAGAAATACTCAGATCTCGACCCAAAGTAGTTACACGTTAAGTTACTTCTACCACCCTATTATTAAGTAGGATTATTGTATGTTTAGTTTAAGTATATTTAAGTAATCATAACAAATTGTGAGTCAGGTTTTCTACACTGATCATTCTCATAATCACACAATCCCAAAGACAAAGAAAAAAAGCATTTTAATTAGCTTCCTAACATAGGTAACAACTATTTTCTATACATATTACACATATTAATTTGTATGAAATAACAAACACTCTTATTTCAATACATACTACTCCATATTGTCAATCCTTAAGTTGTACAAAAAATATGAAAATGTCGATGGATGGAAAGCAAAGATCAAGAAAAAAACTTGCAACAGTTTTGTAAATATTTGGAATATTTCTCTTTTGGATAATCCCCTGGTTCAAGGGGAGATAGCGAACTTAGAACATATTTCTGATGATACGGCGACTAGGTTTTGTTTGTGATATTTTTTCTAAATATCTTGCAACCGGAATTTTTTGGAGTACGATTAAGTATTATTGTAAACTGCTAATCTAACAGTATAACTTTAATACTCCTACAATTCAAGTGTTAGTCTTATATTGACTACAACAGATACTTCACAAGAAACTTTAATTCAAAAAATACAAACATTTTTATGGGGAAACTTTAGTGAGGAATAAAACTATGGTAAACACTAACGTAAAACTTACCTCTCAATGCATGTGCGACCATCTTGTGTCAAATATCGAAACCCACATATTGATGTTCGTTCCGTGTATTTTTTTAAAATTGCCAATAGTTTCCCGCACAGCATTTCTTCTTGTACTTAAGAAAAGTTTTAAATATGTCCCTTTCCCTCAAATCTCCAACTATTTGTTTCCCAGAAATCGATGTTAATGCAGAGAGCTTCGCAACAAGTCAGTTCCGTGGAGTTCTTTTAGCGTGACTCAAAGCCTAAAGTTAACAATTAAATCGAGTGAAAATCTCGTTGAAGAGGCTCCATGCAGTAATATATCGAACCAATGAAAGGTTATTCTCAGTTATCTAACGTTTGCATTCAACAACACACAAAGACTGGACGCGAGCACGCAATTTTTCTCGCCGTATCTCTCCCTATCCCAATAAGCGGAAGCGGAACTCCAGGACAACCCGCGGAATAAATAACTTTTAAACTACCCTTGCGTAAATACGAGTGCAGGCAATAAGGGTATACCTATTCCATAAATCTACCCACCCGGACATTTAGATCCATCTGATATCCCTGACTATAGCCCTATGGAACATCTTTCCGATGGTACAGGTCTCTGTTTCCGGTATTTCTCCGGGCTATCATCCTCAATCGTGCACGATTGAGGATTATTATCAACTGCGAATCTAGCAAAAAAATTTGTTTTTTGTGAATGTTTCAATTAAAGTTCTCGTATTTTGACCACTACAGTTTCTATACAAGGAAACGTAACTCTAAAAATACAAATACAGTTTATAAAGAAGCTTACGTTAGGAATAAAACTATGATAAAAGCTTTCATAAAAACTCACCTCTAAATGAATGTGCGACCATCTTGTGTCAAATATCGAAAACCACATATTGAACTTCTCTTCGTGTAATTCTTTGAAATTGCTGAACGTTTTCTGCGGATCATTTGTCCTTATCGTTAAGAATAATTGAAAATATTTTCCTTTCCTTCAGACTTACCACCTTTTGTAAAAACTGACTTCTGTGCTAGTAATGAGCTCCGCGCAATCCTTCTAGCGCGATTCACCCTCAAATTTAACATTTAAAGCGCATGAATGTCTTGTTGAAGAAGTTCCATGTAGTAATATATTCTCTTAATGAAGGATTTTTCCTTTGTTATCTAAGGTTTGCATTCAACATCACACAAAGGCTGTACGCAAGCACGCAATATAGTACTCAGTATCCCCTCCTATAAATTGTTTCCACCCACTATTCCATAAATACAAGTGCAGATAATAAGGTTAAACCTATTCGATAAGACTATCCACTTGAACATTTATAACCATCTGATATCACTGAAAACTATTTGTACACGTAGGCTTCCGCGGCTCGAGTCCATTACTTCTAGGCTGGAGCTTTACTTGTCAGTACCCTGAAGAAGCCTGCGACATGACAGGCGAAACGTCGGTCTATCTGCCATAGAGTGTAAGTGTCATTCAACAGGCTAAGTCGTTATTAACAGGGTCTTCTCAGTGTCGTTCAGTTCGAAATCCTGTTTGTATGTCTTCAACAGAGCTGAGGTTCAATGGCCCAGACAAAACCAGTACCGGCCTTCACCTTGCAGAATCCTCGCATTAGTTTATTTTAATGCTGATCCACTTTTTTCATTGTTGCTGCGTCTACGGAATAGTGATCTTCCCATTTGCCCATGTTTAACTGGAGAAGACTCACTATCGTTGGATTAATGCGGTATGTATGTAGTGACATTTGGATGTTCAGCAGCCAAGCACGGCACCATGTCATAGGCCTTTTTATCCAATAAAACAACGGAAACAATTGCGTCTCTCCTTTACGTGATTGAGAACGATGTTGACCTGGTCAATTGATTAACTTTTTTTTAACATGCCGACGGAATCTTTGCTGCATTTATTATTTATTTATTTATTTATTATTTATTTATTTATGATTATTATTTATTATTTATTTATTTATTATTTATTTATTTATTTCTATTTATTTATTTATTTATTATATATTTATTTATTCTATTTATTTATTATTTTATTATTATTTACTTTATTATTTATTATTTATTTATTTATTATTTATTTATTATTTATTTATTTATGTATTATTTATTATTATTTATTTAATTTATTTATTTATTATTATTTATTGATTTATTTTATTTATTATTTATTTATTATTATTATTTATTTATTTATTTATTATGTATTATTTATTTATTAGTATTTATTTAATATTTATTATTTATTTATTATTTATTGATTTATTTATTTATTGTATTTATTTATTTATTTATTTATTTATTTCATTTATTATTTATTTATTATTTATTATTATATTATATTTTAAAAAAACAGTTAAAAACTGTTGGGATTTGTGACGTGCTCATGGTGAAAGTTATATAATTTGAAGTTACATTTATGTTCAGAACAAAAATACTGGTGGCCCATCTCAGCATTGCTCGAGGATCAGGAAACTGAACGAAAAACTCTGATCGAGTATGGGGCGTTTTATACGCTTCCCAAATGGTAAAAATAACTACATTTTAATTCATTTAAAATTTTAATATTACTTTCCTTTGGGTATGCCTCAGTATTAGTCTCTAATTGTACAGAAACAGTTGTGCAAGCTGCAGCAGAAAAAGAACAAACTTTTGCTATGGAATTAATCGTTTAATGTTATGATGGCAAGGTGTTGCGAAAATAATGTACATGTATCAATATATGAAATATTTGTAGTGACTGTTGATACTGTTACTGATGGCATATGATTACTACGTCGAGTGTTTGATTAGTTATAGACAACGGGCCGTTTGTTGAAAAGTATTTCCCGCCCTTAAGCAAGTCATTTTTGGAGCAAAAACCACTGATCATATATTAAAGACAAGGTAATGGTAAAATACCTGAGAATTAATAATGGTTGCTTAAGAATTATGTTGGCTATGGAGTTTCAGTTGCTGTTCAAGCGTATCGATAAAGTCAAAAAAACGTGTATTGTCATTATTGTGGTGTGTGTTTTGTCATGTGTGTGTGATGCGATTTTTCTCTTAATATATGCTACTTATTTCGCAAAAATTTACTTCCATCTCCTCTCTGGAAATCTTCCATATTTCATCTAAGGTGTGTCGAATCCATTTCGCGACTGATTTTCCTGGGGTTCTCCTTGAAATCCTCTAGGAATCCTGCAAGTTGATTGGGATTTCAAGATATTTTGCCGCCATTCATCCTCCACTTTTGCAACTGCCATATAAGGTATAATGCACAGGGAGATGGTTCATATTATCATGATATCTGAGGTGTCATGAACTAAAATTTGTTCAGTATGCTACTTTGACAGCGGATGACCAGTTTTTTGAACTGAGTGTTTTTGGCATTCCTTAGTCTTAGAGGAAATCCATCCCCTCATATTCGATAAACTGCCAGCTTTTCACGTTAGTGATATCTAGGCATTAATCTTGTCCTGGAAAGCCTCAATGAACAGAGTATCTTGGCGCAACCTTGTGAGAGATATGCATTTGTGGTATGCGGAGGTGTTGCAGCTTCAATGTTTATATTGTGGTTCTAACAGTGACTTGTGTACGTAACGTTTACCAATACGCTAAATGTACAGCTGTCCTCCCCTCTTAAAATGTTTACTACTCTAAATGTAGCGTAAAATTCAGTGGTTAGGCGCGGAAAGGCAGGCCCCTATGGCCTGAGCCTCGCCTATTAATAAAGACATTATTATTATTTATTATTATTATTATTATTATTATTATTATTATTATTATTATAAGCGGATTATTATTTACTTTTACGTCTGCTTTAATCTCATTTTTCTCTGGCACGTGAGACATAAAATTTGCCGCCATTTACCAAGTGTTATCCAGCGCTCTTTGAAAATCTGCGATATTATTCTCAGTGAGGTGCGGATAAATGTGGGTACTGCTTGAATGAAAACATGCTTTGCAATTCCTGCCGTAACTATAGGGATTGGTATCGGCCAACGGGTAATGCGAAGAGTACAAGAACTTATGGATTTATTCTAATTATTAGTCACAGTGGAAGCTCTCGCGTCGTGGCTGGCCTGCCGACGGTGCGACCCTAGTGAACTCTGAAAACACTTGTTTCAGGTGAAGTTAACAGATCTTGCGTATTGATTCCGGGTATAATTTCGGGTATCCGAAGTGAGCCCGCCCTGTTCGGTAGCATGCCGAACCGCTAGTTCATCAAACTAGCGGTTCCGCATTCTGTTCACAGACAACGCTTAGTTCCATCTGGACCCCTTGGCGCCTCCTCAGCAAGCGGCTCTTGGTCTGAGGCAAATACCAATGATCTCTCCATTTTCGCAAGGGTTATTATTATTATTATTATTTATTATTATTATATTATTATTATTATTATTAGTTATTATTATTATTATTAGGTTATAGGCCAAATTTTACCACGCTCACGTTATCTACGAGGCCCCAAAGAGATGAACGCGTTGTGTTACGTATCAAATCATTTTTCCCCACGGACGAACTTCATTGCGACGACCATAAGCATTCATTAGAACAATAGTTTCAGTACTTCTAGGCTGTCCGGAGGACGCCGCGTCGT